GTGAGCGGAGCCGGGAGCGGAGCGCGGAGCAGAGGGGTGAGCGGAGCCGGGAGCGCGGCCCGGGGGTCCCTGCGCGGGGCGGCTCCTGCTGCGGCTCTGCCCCCGGGGCTGCGGGCTCGGGGTGGACGCGGGCGCTGCAGGGCCCGTCCCGTCCCAGCCCTCCCGTGAGCCCCGCAGCATCGGCGCAGCTCACAGGGCGCAGAGGAGCCTCCTGTGCCCCCAGCCCGGGGGCGCCCGCAGAGCCGCCCGCAGCTGCTGCACCCCGGTCTGCCCTGTCCTGAGTCTCAGTTTCCCCATCAGAGCCCTCTGCTTTGGTTAAGGAGAGCAACAGACCCCCCACCCCTGTCCCATGCCTCCCCATCACCACCCCCAAGCAAACACCCTCCATAACCACCTCCGGGGGTCATTTGCTTCTGCTTTGCCTCAGCCACTTCCAAAATCCAAATCCCAGTCAAATGCGACCCGTTTCCCCAAGCGGGATATTTGCATGCGAGGGCGCCTGGCGCCGCCGTCCTGGCCCGTGGCCTCCCCGCTGCCAGGCGGCCTCGCAGCGAGTCCGGCCTCTGCCTTCATTGCAGTGAGAGGGAGCCCCGAAGCGCCTGGCGCCGGCTGCAAACCCGAGCAGGAGCGCGGCCGCTCCGTGCCCCAGGTAAGGGCTGCCTATGGGGGGGAGCTCGCAGCGGCTCCAGGCCGTGTCCCAGGTGGTTATCTCGGAAAATCCATGGGAATGGCTGTGGATTCCCTGCCTGCAGCCCCTCAGTTGAGCCATGGATGAGTGGGACCTCCCGCAGTGGAAGAAGGAGGTGGAGAGCCTCAAGTACCAGCTGGCCTACAAGCGGGAGCTCTCGTCCAAGACCATCCCCGAGTGAGTGCCCCGGCGCGGCAGGACCTACTGGGAGGGCAGAGCTCCCAAACGCCCAAAGCGGGAGCAAACCTGCTCCCAAACTGCAGAGCAAGCCGCGCAAAACTGCTCCAAGAGTGTTCTGGAGCGGCCCAGGCAGCCCGTGTTTGCTCTGAGAGTTGCAGCTTGCAGGGGCGAGGGAGGCTGAAGGGCAGCGGGGGCATGGCCAGTCCGGCACGTGGCCAGCCCCACGCTGGTGCCGCGGCCGCTGGGGACCCAAGTGCTTTAGACCTGTCCCCATCTGGCCCTCGGCGACCACAGGAGCCTGGGCTGGGACGAACAGGAGCCGGGCCGAGGGGACGGAGCGCCTGGTGATGCTCTTGGGCCCTGCAGGTGCCGGCGTGCGGCTGCCCCGCGGGGACGCCGCAGTTCCCAGCTGCGGGCCCTGCGTGCAGCAGCCCCGGCCGGGGCGGCAGCGGCTGCACGGGCCGGAATCGCGCCGGGCACCCCGGGGAGGGAGGGCTCGGCTGCAGCCCAGGAAGGGCCGGGGCTGCTCGAGCCCCTCGCGCTCCTCCTCCTCCACAGGTTTGTCAAGTGGATCGAGGACGGCATCCCCGAGGACCCGTTTCTCAACCCGGAGCTGATGAAAAACAACCCGTGGGTGGAGAAAGGGAAATGCACGGTGCTGTGACGCGCCGGGGCGCAGCCGAGCCCCGCGCCGCAGCCGGGCCCCGCGCCCGCTCACACTCAGTGTACATTTTTTATTAGCTAGTTTCCTAATATGACCAACAGAAAAAAACCTACCCTTAGCTTGTCTTATTATTTCTGGTAGTAGAAGTGTTTCTTTTTTTTTTTTAAATATATGGAGGAAAGGAAGCACATGGGATGGGGAGAGGCACAGGTGCAGGAGGGAAGGGGAAAGAGTAAACGCCAACCAGGCACAGGGGGCTCAGGTTCAGCATCTCCTTTCCAATTCTAAACTCCCACTTCTCTGCGCCAACCACTTCTGTGAACACGACGACTTTCCTATACTTGTAATGGAGGAAAACTTTCCTAAACAGTTTCAGCAGTTTCACCTCTTCTTTTGTATAGTGAAGAATATACAGTTCTGCAGCACAACAGGCACAATACAACAATTACGGGTTTCTAAATAAACCAAGCAATACTTCATGGTTTATTTTGCTATTTATCATTTCTTTATTTTTACAAAATACTGACTATAAAAGAAAGGACCATCCTCACCCACCCCATCTCTTGAAGAAAGCTAAAAGTTGGCAGCGTCTCTGCCCTGTCTTGCTTGCCCTGCTCCCGCGCTAGAGCAAGTCTCTAATGTAGATGTTCCTCCTGACGGCGTTGGAAACACCTTCATTAAAGCGGAACCAGACGTCGCTCCTCCCCACGGCCGTCCCCAGCTGCTGCTCCATGGCGTCCTGCTCGTCAGGCTGGGAAGCTGCAGAGGGAGGAAGGATGAGACCCCAAAACCGACACAAACACAAGGTTTGGTCGCATGGCCAGGTCAGCCCCAGCCCGGCCTCGGCTGTTGCCTGAAAATGCAGAGCCAGAGGCCGATGCTCCCTCTGCATCAGGGGTTCTTGGTGTAATTCCGAGGTGGGAGGGTCTCTTAATGCCCCCCCATGAGCACCCACCTGGGGCCGGAGCTGCTGCCTTCTTGACAAGCGGTCGCCCGAAGAAGTCGGTCTCGGGCTGCAAAAGAGAAAAGCAAAGGGAGAGGGTTAACGGGGCTGGTTGGTGCCTGTGCTCGGGGCCGCTTCTGCCCTCCTCGTGCCCCTCAATGCCCACTGCCCCATGCAGCAGCTCAGGTTCGTGCTGTTAGGAGCCAGAGCAGCTCCCATCCCACAGAGCCACGGCTCCAGCTCCTTTCCCTGCAGCCATCCACGAGCATGATGCAAATCCCAGCAGGAAGGCGAGCGGCCCGGGTAAAATGCAAACAACCAGGGCGGCAGGGACTGGCCGCGCGGGCACCGCTCACCTTGTCGCCGCCGCGGGCTCTGCGCGCGACGCCCTCCAGCCGCTGCTCGTGGGCACGCGGGGCACCCAGCGGCGCCTCCAGCCCCGGCTCCTGCAGGAAGAGAGGGGTTGGGAATGGGAGAAGCCGATCCCAGTGCAGGGGCAGCTCCCGGCATCCAGTAGCCCCTTCCCACGCCCACATTTGCACTGCTAAGAGCCCGGGAGCCAACCTGCGGCCGTTTGAAGGTGGGACAGGCACTAGAGCCAGCACTAAGGCTGGGGGTCACCACGAGGGGCTCCTCCTCCTCCTCCTCCACCCAGGCAAGGTGCCATGGTGCCCCATTTCCATGGCCATATCCCCCGAGCATCGCTTTGCTTTACAACATATACATTTTCCAGCGTTTTTGGTCCCCCAGCAGTAACTCCGGATTAGCCCAAGGCTTCAAGGTTGCATTTTCCACCCCTGCAAGGTTGGCACCACGTAAACAAGAACCCTCGGGAGAGGCCTGTGCCCTGCGTCTCGGCCACATCGGGGCCAGGATTAATGAGCTGTGGGCGCTCCGGGTGCTGCCGCCGCTCGTTAGCGGCACCCCAGCCCCGCGAGGTCCCGGGCGGCCCCATCGGCCCGGGATGGTCCCACTCCGTGCAGAGGAACCCGCAGGAGGAGCCAGGAGGAGCCGCTCAACAGGGGCCTGGGTCCTGCAAGCCTTAAATAAATATCTGCCTTTAGGGGCTGCGCCTCCTCCCTGTGCTCCGAGCAGGGCCCAAAGCCTCCCGCTCACCCAGCCCGATCCCGGCTGCTCCGGCGCCCGCCCGTGGGCAGGGATCGTGCCCGGGATTCGTGCAGGGGCCGGGCAGGGGGGCAGCGCAAGGCAGGGACAGATGCGCCCGGACGCACGCGGCCCCCGGCTCCCACCCGGGGGGTTAATCCTGGATTTTCCTTGGCAGCACAAGGGCCGGCAGCGGCAGCTGGGGGCCGTTCCTGCCCTTTGCTGCCGTGGCCGGTGCTGGGCCGGGGCAGGGGCACCGGGGAGCCCCAGGCCCAAGCAGGGCTCGGCCAAGGGGCTGGCAGCCCCTTCCCCATCTTCACCAGCACCTCCCCAGGCTGCCTGGGGAAGCCAACATGCCCTGCACCTTCCCAAGGCCTCCAAAGCCCCTGGCACCCACAGCCACAGGGTCCTGCCGTCCCCACCTCGCCGCCCTTTCGCTCCTGGAGCAAGGCCTCCATCCTCCTCATCTTCTCCAGCTCGATTTCCCTGGCTATGAGCTGCTTGGCCTGGTAGGTGAGCTGCCGCCGAGCCGGGAGGTCAGGGAACCTGCACACGTCCTCCACGTTCCTGCGGCAGCAGGACGGCACGCGAGGAGGGGGAAAAAGGCAGGAAAGAAAACAAGAGACAAGATATCAATATGGAAAATTGGAAAAACCAGTCACTGATTGAGTCACTGCTCTGATGCAGCTGTGCTGACCCAGGCTTAGCTGCATCAGGCCAAAACCTCCCCTCTGCCCCTGCCAGGTCCCTGTGTGGGAGCAGTTTTAGGAGAACAGTTTAGGAGCTAAAGGTGCCACTCGCATCAATGTGGCAGATCTCTTGTGAGAATGCAAGAGGGATGATGCATTTCTTAATCTTGGCTTTAATGCATCAAAAAAACTGCAGGTTGCTTCGTGATGAAGAGCCTGCCCTGGAAGCGCCCAGTTTGGAATAGCTCAGGCACAGGCAGCAACAAAACCCTTTGCACCCTTAAACAAACAGCCTCACCTCCTGCTACAGCATCCTTGGCAGCACCACGGGGAAAAAGGAGACAGATTAAGACCAAACCCCGTGCTCACATGCCCGAGACCCAGCTGGGACCAACCCCTTTGCTTAACTGGAGCAGCTTTACCTGCACTGGGGCTGCTGCACCCGGGCGGCAGCTAAGCCTTTATCAGGACAGTGGGAGCAAACGCAGCTCGAGCTCTCCTTAGAAACCAGCCGATCCCGCTCATCTCACAGTTATAAATATTTCATACCTATCTGCATTTGATATTATTTCCATTAAAACAAAGGGAACAAATGCACATGTCAGAGGGACTGGCAGTCATTGAGACTTTTAGCTGTCAAACCTACTGTTTTAAAAGCCCTTCCTCTTCCTGGTTTTCCTTGCACAGTCCCCGAGTGGCCTTTAAAGAGAAGGGCAACAAGCCGGGCTCCCAACCCCGCCATGGGGAAAGGAAACTCTCCCCAGGGCTCTTGCTGCACCCCACGGCGCCCACCCGCTGCCCCGGCCCACGTGGGAGGGCAGGACGTCTCGCTGCAACTTCAGCAGCTCCCTTAGGCCTTTCCGGGGAAAAAAATAAAACCCTTCACTGTAATTAGATACAGCTGTTTGATTTAACAGAGGATAATTTTTTTTAATTAACTTTTTTCGTACCAGGAAGACATGAGCACTGCTCCCAGCTCCAGGCCAGGTCTGTGGTACGTCCTTAAACCCTGGAAGTGTTTCCAGCTCTGCACGAAGGAGGCTCGGGTTTAGTAATGACACATGGTTGGTTTAGAAACCCAGCCACTGCCCAGCCTGTTGTCTCTCACCCCGATGCAGCACCTAAGAGCTGGGCACAACCAGCACCTGCAAAGCGGCCAGAAATCGCCAAAAAGCAACTATTTCCTTTCCTTTAACCCAATTAAAGCAAAGCCAGCCCCACTTTGGCCTCGGTGCGACCAGACACAAGCAGCAATAGGGGACTTGGCCACCGTTGGGTCTCACGGGGCAGGTAAATCCCAGGGTGGCATCAACATCTTCCTGGGGAGGAGCAGTGCAAAAATAGGAGGCAAAAACCACCACCAAAAGAGAGAGGGGAAAAAAAGGGGTATTTCGCCTGAAAAACCTCACTAAGCCCCTTAGAAGAATGTAAGGGATTTGGCACAGCCAGGCGTTTTTGTAGCATTAAGCTCAGAAGTTCTTGGCCGTTATTATTTTTAAACAAACACGGGGAAGAGCCACATCGTTCCAATTTAGGGCGAGCGCTGCAGGAGTTCTAAAGAGTCACAGGAGACCACGTCCCTGCTGGGATTGCTGCTGTTTTGGTGGCAACGTCTTCCCGCTCCGTGGATGCCCCACGGCAGAGGGACACGGCCAGGAGCCGCCCGCGGGGATGAGGACACAGGCGGGCCGGGAAAAGCCGGATTGGTGGAAGTTAAAGAGGATAAAGGGAGGTTTGATCAGCGAGGGGGGAGGCAGCGAGGGACACGTGGGGAGATGTCCTTAACATCAACGTGGAGACGGGCACATTTGCTCTTTCAGCTGCTTTGCCATCTGTTCCTGACCTCAAACAGCACAAACGCCTTTTAAAACCAGGTTTATCCACCAGGGCCAGCACTAACGGCCCTCACATTGACCATTTTCCCATCGTCTTCTAACCCTCTAGCTGTAGCCTCTGCTCTGAACACCAAGAAACATCCTGGTCCAAGAGCGATGTGCCGGAAACCGGGAACACTGAGTGGGACACGGCCACATCCCTGGCTCGGAGCAGAGCTCCCAACACTAACCCAGGTCCTCCAGCAAAACCTCTCATTTGGCTGCAGAAAATCAAAGCAATGCCTTCAGGCTCGTTACTCCCTGAACACACGTTTCTCTTCCTGACCATTTGCAACCCGAGCATCCTCTGTCTACCCTCTAAAGCGTCCACCAAGCCCTGTCTCGGTCAGCACCTCACTTGGCCCGAGGTCGCCCACATCCCTGTGCCGCATCCCGAGGGCGGCACGTCCATAGGGAAAGCAAATCCGTGGGCACTCACGGGTCGAGCTTGTAGACGTACTGGCCCTCGGGCGTGCGCTCCTGGTGGTAGGTGAGGTTGTAGGCCAGCATGGTGCTGATGAGGGCAGCGAGCTGCTGCTTCTCCTTGAGGCTGTAGAGCTGCGTGTTCACCTGGGGAGCGGCGCGGGGGTTAAGTAAGGGGAGAGCACAATTAATCTGTAATAACTTCTACACACAAAAATAACCTGAAGCAGATATTTTTCCTTGATACAAGAAAGGACAGTTAATACCCGCGAGGATCAGGGCAGGGAGAGAAAGATTAGTTTGCTATTAGGGACACCGTGTACTTCACGGAGCTGGGAAAGGCCCCTCCGTGGGCCAAAAGGGTAAACGCGGCATCCAAGGCAGCCCGGGGCTCCAGGAGCCGGGCAGGAGAAGCACCGGAGCCGGAGGAGGGAGCAGAGGGGGCCTCACCGGTCGGAGCTTCGGGGCGATGATGTCCAGGAGCAGACAGAGCACCTCCAAGACGAGCACTTGCAGCCCGGCCCGGCTGCGGGCAGCGGGGGCGATCCCGGACACCAGGGCCGTGACGAGGTTCTGCGTGTGGTTCAGCTTGGCCAGCGCCTGGGCACGGAGAGGCGGTTCAGCCCGGCCGAACGGGCCCGGCGCCGACCCCGCGGCCCTCCCGGTACTCACCTCGTGCTGGCTCTTGGGATAGGCCAGCCGGGGGATGCTGGAGGCGGCGAAGAGGAGGTGGAAAGCCACGGGCAGGAAGGGCAGGTACCTCAGGAGCTGGAAGCTCTGCCCGTGCAGCACAGCGCTGCCCAGCACGTCGGAGAATTCCAGCCACTCGAGCGCCAGGCACACGGAGCCGAAACACGAGTCCCGCATCTTCATGTTGAGGAAGTTGTCGTAGAGGCCCTGCGAAAGGAACCAAGCAGAGGTGGCATCAGCGGCGGCGCCGAGAAGGATTTTCAAGGTTGGGATTTTGAGCATCCTGCTAAACGCAGCTCTGGCACCGCATGGCAGCTCGAACCTCCCTCCAGAATCAACAGGGAGCAAAAGAAGGATGACCTGAGCTGTCAGCTAGGTGCCAGACTCGTGCTGCGCGTGGCAGGGCTCCCCGGCCGCGCCGCGGTACCTGGGCAAGCTTCTCGTGCTCCCCCGCGGCCGTGGCGAGGTGAAGGATGCGCTGGAACCGGTGCGAGGGCGCGTTGAAGCCGGGCTTGGCCCCGACGGGCAGCAGGCCCTCGTCGCCCCCAAGCTGCTCAATGGGCAAAGCAGGGTCCATTCCTATCCTGTGCCTGGGGAGACCAGACGGGAGACGCTCAGGATCCCCTGTCAGCGACTGCAAAACTGGGGCAGGCCAGTGCTGAACCCCGGCAAGGAGCATCTGGACCCTTTCAAATCAGACTGAAGACAATAATCATGTCAAATTATCATGCACTAATGAGAGCAACCAAAGGGAATCAAACACACAAATCTGCTTAAACAAAGCCCTGCAGGACAGACTGTCTACCCGGGGATGGTTCAGACCATCCACCGTGCGTCCTGCACGGGGATTATGTGATAGCACAAAGCGCTGTGCACCAGGCTGCTTCCTAAGCTCCTGCACATGCTGGTGATCTAGTAAATTCCCTTGTTTACCTTTGAACCCTCGGGAGTTGGAAAATCTCTTGCCAAATGGAGAAGAGCCCCTTGTTTTGGTCCTTCAAGCCTATCTTCATCGTCTGCACCATCTGCATGCTTAGCTCCTTCTGGCCCCGGCCATGCAGGAACTGCAACACAAGAAGAGGTTGGGCTCTGGGCAGGGAAAAACTCTTGGAAGGAGATGGGCAAAGGGAGAAGAGGGAGGCCAATAGAGTTATCCGACCCCAAGGAAAACGTGAGACAAGGGCAACTTGTCCTTCCTGACTTGGCAGGGGGCTGGAGCCTCCCTCCCGCTGCAGGCAGCGGGGTTCCTGCCCTACCTGCAGGGTGTTGATGCACGAGCGGATGTCGTTCTCCGTCTTCTCGCACAGGGCCAGGAGCGCTCCCATGTCCGCCCGCATGCCCTGCTTGAGGGCGATCTAGGAGACAAGGACGTGTCCGGACCCGCTCGCGACGGGGCAAGGGGATCCCGGGGAGCCCGTGTCCCGCCGCACCTCGGCGAGCCGCTGCGCCAGCCGGGACGGCAGCGTCTGTGGGAAGCTCAGCAGGAAGGATTGCTGCCGCAGCGGCCGCAGCGATGGCACGTACCTGGGGGGAACACACACATCTCTGAGCAGCCCCAGCAGAAGGCGACTTCAGTCAATACAAAGTGTGTTACGTTGCAGCGACCTGCACCAAAATGTGCCTTTGTGCGCAGGAAAACTACCCTGTGTTGAAACCTAGCAGCAAGCCACACCATCAGGCATAAAACCTGAAGATTTTAAGAAAAGCTGAGCACTTTGCAATTTTACTCTCTCAAAAGCGTTTCTGATCTGAGGTTGGCACCAACCAGCTTAGCATGGGGAGGCTTTAGTGAAGGGTGCCCTTTCCTGCGAGGCTGAAGGTGATGCTACTCCTCCTCATCAGCACAACAACCACCTAACCCAGGAGCAGGGACTGGCTCTAGCTCCCATTCTCTGTTTTCCGACCCGTGTGGACAAGCACAACTTACTGGTCGTTGCAGATGCAGATGATGGGTCTCAGCAGCAGGCCACCTTCCCTCCTCCTCCTCCGGCCCACGCCAGGCGCTGCCTCAGCCTCAGCCTCCTTACGGTTGATGATATTTAGCAGCACGTTGATAGACGCCTTGGGAAAAGTTAAGGGACAAGAAGAAACAAATGCTGTCAGGGAAACAAGACACAGATGGAAGAAGCCTAACGCAGGCAGCCGGCGAGGGCTTACAGTGGGTGCACCATCGATCTCATCAATAATCAGGCAGTTGGGCTTCTCGTCAGCGCCCAGCACAGACTTCATCTGCGTGGCAGCTTCAATGTGGGTCTTGAAAGCGTCCGGGCTGCGATCATCGCTGCAAGAAAAAAGCCCCCCGGGATGGAAAAAGCTCCTGCCCGGCACCGTTTCCATTGTTTTTTGGGATGGAGTGGCCGGCACGGACTCACCTGGCGTTCATCTCGACCACGTTGTAGCCCGCGTGCTTGGCGATGACGTGGGCCAGCGTAGTCTTCCCCAGACCAGGGGGGCCGCAGAGCAGCGCTGCCTGCACAGGGGGGACATCAGCGGCACGGAGAGACCCAGCACCCCAGCTGCGTCTCTCATGCACACGGGGATTCACTTACATTTTTAGCTGAACGCTGAACAAAACCCTCCCAGCATTATATCCAGAGGAAGCAATACTGTTGGTAACTATTTTTGTTTCCCCTTTTTAGATGATTTCATTGCACAGGTTAAAGCTGGTAGAATTGTCTGAGTGTTATCCCTGCTCCCTTTACTGCCTCATCAGCCTTGATCTTTCCAGGACGCAGAACATCTTGTCATGTCTGCCTCGAACAACTAAAGCCAAGACAACCTCTCCACAAAAGGGTATATCTTTCTTCAAGCAAACTATTTAGTCTGTCTATGTTTTGCTGGAAAAATAAATTAATTAATAAAACTTCTTGAAACCTGTTTCCCTCTCCCTATTACGACACTATAAAAGCTGAAATGGAAGAGGAAAATGAGAAATATCTCATATTTACTGAAGGAGAAACAAGGAATCCATTTTCTCTTGGATTTGTGCTGAAAGACGACTAACTCCACACCACAGTGGTGGGATCAGGAGAACAGGAGAGGAAAGAGCCATCACATCTGCATCGTGTCCTGCTCACCTTGTACTTGGGTCTCTTGTACTGGTCCAGCTCAGCCTCCAGAATCTCCTCTGTGAGCTGGACCTTACTTTTCCACTTATTCTGCTGCTCCTTGGGCTGTTTGAGTGGAGGATGAGCCTCAGCAACGGGTTTCGCTTTCTTCACAGGTTTCTCCTTGCCAAATACCACCGTGTCCCAGAGCTTGAGCCACTTTAGGAGGCAGCGGTTTGTGTACTGAATAACAGACACAAAAGAAAGCAATCAACATTTCATCTCAGAAGTATCCTGACAAGCAGAAAGGCCTCTCCTTTGGGGCCTAAAAACGTGTCTGCCCAGACAGATCTTGAGCACTTGGCACTATCCCCTCTGCACACAAGAGGCTGGTTGGGTTCCCATGAGGTACCACTGTGTGACAGGCAAGGCCAAACACCAGGAAAGCAGCTTCCCTTCCCAGCTCAGCCCATGGCAGAAACAAGGACAAGTCCCACCATTCTTGCTCTCCCTTGCACGCCTCTGCTCAATCCAGTGGTTTTCAGCCTTTCCCAATTTGCAATTCTAATTTCCTACACAATTTCCAATAGTGGCTAGATGGATAAAGTCCACCCCACAGTCTTGTTTATCTTGGTTATCTTTTTTTACAGACCTATTAAAGGGTTCACAGACTACAGCTGAAAAACCCACTGCTGTGAGTTCTCCAAAGCAAAAGCTGCCCCGAGCACCTGCGTGGGGCTCTAACACAAGCAGAGCCCCCAGGCAGCATTTCCAAGTCATGGCAGCACACGCTGCTGTACAGCCCAGCAATAAAGAACAGTTACAAAAATGGCAAAGCCACCCAAGCCCTGCTTATACTAGCGCCTCACATCATCACTGAGCAGCTCGGTGTAGCGCCGGGGAGTGAATCTGTCCACCCAGAGGCAGTGCGAAGCAGACTCCTCCTCATCGTCCGCCACCTGCACATCCTCGCGAGGCTTTGGGGTCTCATCGCCGGCCTGGCTCTCGAGGCAGCTGCAAGAGACACAAGCGAAGGGCAAGGCTCAGAGCAGGGCCCAGCGCTGCCCCATTCCTTCCACTGAACCCTACACTGGCCGCAGTGCGGCAAAACCCAACCCGTACCTTCCCAAGGGACGGGAGAGCCCAGCCCAGCTCAGCCCTGGGACCCATCACTCGCTCCCTTCAGCACTGTGTCCTTCCAGGGACAGACAGCGTTATCCCCAAACCCTTTCAGCGCCCAGAACAATCTGCAAAGCTCCTGCTCTTGACAGACAGGATTGTTATATATAAATTGATATAAATATCCTCATTTCATCTTTTTAATACGGAAGTCCTTAGGGCGATGCTCCAAGATAAGCACCTTGCAGCATTAGCACGTGCACACTCCCAAAGGAAAAGGCACCACAGGCCAGAGCCCAAATGAACAAGGCATCTGTCAAAGACTTGATAAAAACATTATCTTTGTTTGATAGCAACCTGCCCCAAGCCCCACAGGGAGCCTGGGCAGAGCTGGGAATTAAACCCTGGTGTCCCAGGGTGCTGAGTGGCAAGAGGCTCCTCTGCTCCTTTGTGGCAGGAGCCGTGCAGGAAACCTCTGCTCCGGGAGCCCTTCCAGGAGTCACATCCGAGAGCGGCGCAAGGACGGGAAGTGTCAAACAGCCCACCTGTTAATGATCTCCGTCAGCTGCTGCGAGGCCTCCAGGACCTGCCGTCGATGCTGGAACATGAAGAGGGCGAGCGGGGAGTCAGGGCCGCTCCGCTGGGCAGCGAGCGGGGACTCGAGAGCCACCACGGGCCACCAGCCTCCCGGGGTGGAGAAACCACTTCTGTCCCCGGTGTGAGCTCAGCAGAGAAAGGCCAGAGGGTGGGGATGAGATTCAATACCTCTTCGTACACTTGTTCCTTCAGGTAGGAGAAAGGCACCCCCAGCAGGTAGAGCGGCCGCTGCGCGTTCCAGCCCAGGGAGCTGGGCAGCTGTGAACGCACACACCTCATCACATTGATGCACGGCGCAGACCCGCGTTTCGCACTTCATTACAGACAACCTTGAAGCCGAGCTCAGAGGTGCAGCCCTCGGCTCCTCGTACCTCCACCCCTGTCCTGGAGCAATCCTCCCTCTGGACCAGGAAGACCCTGGTGCCCTCGGTGGACGTCACGTTGATGTAGTCCTCCAGGATGGGCGGGCGCCTGAGAACTCGCTTGCGCTTCTGCTCGGAGGGCGGCGTGGTTTGCAGGGGAACCATGTCACTCATTCCTAGCTGGTCCACGCTGGAGAACGTCATTCCCCTTTAGAGGGAGATAAGAGAAAGAGTCAGTCCCCACCTTAGGGGAGCAATTCAGTATGGATTCAGGAGCAGCAGCCCCCTGGTCTGTCCCATGCCACCCAGGGAAACACAGTGGAAGCAGCTGAAGGTGGGAGGTTAACAGGTCACAAAGGAAAACACGTTAAATTCCCGCACGGACAACTGTGTTCAGAAACAAAGCAGCCTTAATTCCTGTAGCTTAACCACGGGAGGATTTCCCTCATCTCCAGAGGGGATTAAACAGGCTCCTCCATTGGGAATGAGCACATTCCCGTGCTTGAGCAGGGCAGCCCTAGAGACACTAGGCCACGCTCAGGACGTCCCGTAGCTCCGTCCCGGCACCCTTGGACGGCAGCACCCCCAGCCCCTGTGCCCCCCAACACGGCTCCCACGGGAGCCAGCGCCAACGCAGCAGGACCCTGCCCTTGCCACCCAGCACGGTGGGGTCTGACGTGCTTCCCAAGGGAAAAGCGGCCCGCAGCGCCAACGCAAGGCGCTTCCCAAGGGAAAAGCGGCCCGCAGCGCCAACGCAAGGCGCTTCCCAAGGGA